ATTAGACCGTTTCAAAAGTCGGTGCGGTCGCTTTGTCAACAAAAGTTGTGGTAAGCAACAAAATTAAGTGGTAAACTACGATTTTGACGGATTATGTGGGCTATCTAGATACCATTTAACCTTTTCGGAGCTCATCTATTACCACAAAACTTTTTATATCATGTTTTNTTCTCATCATCCTCATCCTCCTCATCCTCCTCATCCTCCTCATCATCCTCCTTCTCATCATCCTCATCCTCCTCATCATCATCCTCATCCTCCTGATCATCCTCATCCTCCTCATCATCATCCTCCTCCCCATCATCCTCATTCTTCTCATCATCCTCATCCTCCTCATTAGACGGATGGTTTTCAGGCTTTGCGACCTTAACTTTAAATATTTTTCTAAGAGCTAAATTTTCATCTTTTTAAATTCCAACTGCATAGCTATTAACTACAATAGTAATTCTACATCATGTATAAACATGGCAAAAAATGATTAAAGTGGGCCTTTACTAGACCGTTTCAAAAGTCTGTGCGGTCGCTTTGTCAACAAAAGTTGTGGTAAGCAACAAAATTAAGTGGTAAACTACGATTTTGACAGATTATGTGGGCTATCTAGATACCATTTAACCTTTTTGGAGCTCATCTATTACCACAAAACTTTTTATATCATGTTTTCCTTGGCGTTTTGCAAACGGGACAAAATGCTTTACATCTAACGATCAATGCGAAGTAAAAATTTCTTGAAGAATTTAAAAGAAGCATTTTCGAAGTCAAATAAAAATAACGAACGGCATATTTAATGGATTTTCTCCAAATTTATATTAGGGATAAAAGTAAGTAATATCTATTTGTCTGCAAAATTAGAACTGCTAACAAATTTGTTTTTTATTTTTTTCGAAGCCTCTTCGAAAGGGACCTTCAACGTAGCGGTCACCAAGTCCACTGAATGCGCGGTTGTCAAAAGTGTGAAAATATTTGGTATAGATTTCAACAAGGTAACCCAGGATTTTCACGGCATAAACGCCTCTCCAAAGCGGTGTCTCGACTATGTTTTTGTGCCGTTTTGTCAAAACCATGAACTTTGAGATACATTTTAATAGTTGTGAGGTCGCATATTGCACACAGGTCTTCATCAGATTTACAACAAAAGTAACGTTCAAATTTCAACTCCAAACCCCAAGTTATGCCGTACCTTATGCTTTTGAACATTACGAAGGACGAACAAATAAAATTTACTTTGTGACCCCACCCAAGTTTTTCGAACCTTTGCAACATTTCAGATGCCCGTATCACAGTAGTTAATGCTGCTTTGCCTCAGATCGTAGCAATACTGGTATAAATCAATAATATGAAAAAAATCTTGTCGTGTAAGCAGATCAGCTTAGTTATGACCACCGTATCTTCTTTCCCCCACATTCCCCTTGTGAAGTATAAAGCCTGACATCTACCCATGGATCTATGCGGTCGTAGCTTTACATGTGCTCACTCTCTCTGCGTGTTGTGATGGAATCGAAGGTAAATCATTTTCTACAATTATTTGTTAATGCGAAACAGGTGCGAAATAGCTAGAATAGGAACATACTTGTGAAAAAAGGAGTTTAATTATCCCCGATCTGCTTTCAACTAAACCTGCTTTTCGGTTGATTTATATGGTAATAGCTTGCTGGCTAAAACGACAGTATCAGTTTACTCAATTAACGTTACGTAAATCTGAAAATTCCTCCTAGCTTCAGTACTTCAAGCTCAGTCCTCCCTTGACCTATGTATGATAATCTTTAGTCAGTGATGAATCCGAAAAGCAGATATACGGAGGCAAATATCTTGCTGGAACTGAAACAGGCCCGTGTGAACTTTCGAGAAGCCTCCGATAAAGGACACCAAGTCAGGAAGTCTCAGGTTAGTGATTGAATTTTGATGACATGCACATGCAGCGCTTACATAAAGTATTTTTCTATACATATCTAGAAATGTTACTAGACTGACAATGCAGAAGCTTAATTCAGTGAGCTGTTATTAAAATGGTCTGTTTAAATAGGCCTCAACCCGGTATTAAAGACCTTATGTAGAATTGAACGAGACGAAAGTAAATTGGCTTGTTGAAATTGTGTCTTGATTCAGTGCTAGCTTTTAAGCCTAACATTTGTCACAGGTGTTAGATATAGCACATGATATATATATAAAACGGATGAGAAAGCGGAGAGCAAATCAAAACAACCCGTCATACCATCGTTAAGTCTCTGTATTTGAAATGCGCTAAACTGTTGCATTTGTTCATGCGTGAAATTAAATCTTGTATGAACAACAATCACGATGTTTGTCTTAGCTGAATAAATGATAAAATTCATGTGCAGGAGGGGGTGGGATGTGGGATGTGAAAGGGGCAGCAGACACATACAACTACCTGATCTCTTTCTAGAGTGGGCTTTAAGAAACCTAGCACCAGGACCAAAAAATAGTGGGGCTGCTACAAAAGTGCTGGTTTTCTAGGGTGGGGTTATTAAAAGAAAGACCAGGCTCAATATAAAAGAGATGGGTTACTTCAAGGTATGGGCATTGTTAGGAGAGGGGCAGTTTACTAGGGGTGTTATAAGATGTGCAGCCCATACTACAGAGTAGTGGGGAGAGAGGGTTACTACAGAGTTGGGGGATTAGTAAGATGGGTGTGACTTACTAAGTTTTATTGTTATAAGAGAGACAGAGGTTACTACAGAGAAGGGGGATTAGTAAGAAGGGTGTGGCTTACTAGGGTTTATTGTTATAAGAGAGACAGGGGTTAGAACAGAGTAGGGAGATTAGTAAGAAGGGTGTGGCCTACTAGGGTTTATTGTTATAAGAGAGACAGGGGTTACTACAGAGTAGGAGGATTAGTAAGAAGGGTGTGGCTTAGTAGGGTTTATTGTTATAAGAGAGACAGCGGTTAGAACAGAGTAGGGAGATTAGTAAGAAGGGTGTGGCCTACTAGGGTTTATTGTTATAAGAGAGACAGGGGTTACTACAGAGTAGGAGGATTAGAAAGAAGGGTATGGCTTACTAGGGTTTATTGTTATAAGAGAGACAGGGGTTAGAACAGAGTAGGGAGATTAGTAAGAAGGGTGTGGCCTACTAGGGTTTATTGTTATAAGAGAGACGGGTTACTACAGAGTAGGGAGATTAGTAAGAAGGGTGTGGCTTGCTAGGGTTTATTCTTATAAGAGAGACGGGTTACTACAGAGTAGGGAGATTAGTAAGAAGGGTGTGGCTTACTAGGATTTATTGTTATAAGAGAGGCAGGGGTTACTACAGAGAAGGGGGATTAGTAAGAAGGGTGTGGCTTACCAGGGTTTAGTGATATAAGAGAGACAGGGGTTAGAACAGAGTAGAGGGATTAGTAAGAAGGGTGTGGCTTACTAGGGTTTATTATTATATAAGAGACAAGGGTTACTACAGAGTAGGGGGGATTAATACGAAGGGTGTGGGTTACCAGGGTTTATTGTTACAAGAGAGACAGGGGTTACTACAGAGTAGGGGGGATTAGTAAGAAGGGTGTGACTTACTAGGGTTTATTGTTATAAGAGAGACAGGGGTTAGAACAGAGTAGGGTGATTAGTAAGAAGGGTGTGGCTTACTAGGGGTTGTTGTCATAAGAGAGACAGGGGTTACTACAGAGTAAGGGGATCAGTAAGAAAGGTGTTATAAGAGAGGCAGAGCTTACTGCAGAGTGGCGGGTTTGGTGAGAAATGGGTTGCTACAATGAAGGGGATTGCTGGTATGAGGGGTGTATTTTACTAGGTTGGGGGTTGTGAGAGACTGTTTACTTCAGAGTATGGGTGTTGGTAAGGAGGTTGTGGCTTGCTAAGAAACTGGGATTACTACAGAGTAACCATATTGGTAAGTGAGATGAAGATTGCTAGGGTTCGTTATTATAAGACAGACAGAGGTTAGTACAATGTAGGAGTATTGATAGGAAGAGTACGACTTACTAGAGTGGGATTGTTTTAAGAGAGAGGTGGTTAGTATGAGGTGATCTTCACAAGAGAGGCGTTTTTATACGAGTCCAAACTTACCACAGAGTAGAAGCAGTAACATGAGAGTTATGGCTGTCACACATGGTTGTTCTTGTTTGTTTCATAATTTATTTATCTGTCAAGACCTTAGTTATCGCTTTTTTTCCAAAATTTTGTAAGGCACCGTTTGTAATGCACTGTCTGAAGATGACTTCCGTTCAGGTTGTCGAAACGTCAGTCACCAACAACAGTTCTTTTCAGAACTACACTCACCCGGACGATCACACTATACGAACTACTGATACTCCTGGGTTCAAACCATTTACCAAGATACACATAGCCTCTTTGGAGGCTGTCTTCCACATGAACGGCTGCAAGCTGTTTTCTTACTGCTTGTAAACAAAGTACAATTTATCCTTCTCACAGATAATATACTGTTAAACTCAATCATTCAAAGCTTCCTTGCTACGCAATTGGTTGTTTGGCTGGTCTTGGAATCACTCCACTTGCAGTGCACTGAAAATTTCAGTCTATTGCCACTGTCTGGCTTCTTTTTTCTTGGTCACTCCCATCTTAGTTGAACACAATCTCCTAATCTTTGATTTTTACAGGTTTTATAACTTTAAAGGGGTTATTTAGCCATTTTTTCAAACCTCAAGTATAGTTATTTCAGCATATCTGGGAAAACAGTTGAAAGCATACTGAATTTGTGCAATTACCGTTTGACTTTACTTGTGAGGTACTTTTGCTGGATGTAAAATTTTACTTTCGCGTTATGGTTCTTAACAAAAATACTTCTGATGAAGTTGCTACTGTCAAGAAATGTTATTATCTTGAGTAAAGCCCAGATAAGATGTGGTTGAGATTGTCTTCATAGAGCTAACCTTTCTGCCTTATAGAAATGTAAATGCAACAAGAACATTCACTAGTTATAATTTGTTTCAATATTGCGTAACCTCTTGTTAATTGTTTTATTACTTATCGTTTAAAGGTGTTTTAAAGATGCAATAAAATACTGTTACAAGTCTAAATAGTTCGATTTATTTTAGGCTGAAAGACACATGTGGGCCCTCAAGGGGCTATTCAAAGCTGTAACAAAAAGAGACCCTCCAGGAACAGAAAGTGACGATTCTGTCTGGAATGGAAAACGAAACAGAAGAAAGTAATAACGAGACAGCAAGAGTTTTCATTAAGACTCAAGAAGAATTATTCGCAAGGAAGCAAGGAAACGATGTTAAAGTTATGTCAAACAAAAGAAATGCAGAATGTGTCAAAGGTTATTCAAATGAAGCAAAAGTAAGAAACGTTGTGGCCCAGGGTGAGAAAGAAGATCAATCGGATAGCAGTCAGTCAGATTCCGAAAGTGGCAAGGACGAGGAGGACCAAGAAGAACAATCTGGAAGTGGGGAGGATAACAGAGATGAGGATGAGAATGAAGTCCAAGTTGTCAAAGAGATTAAGTCGCAAACAAGAAACAAGTTTGAATGCCCTCTGCGTTGTGGTGCAAAAGTATTTCAGCTCCCACGACATTTGAGAAATGTCCACAGATGGAAAGCAGACCGTGCCAGAAATGCAGTTAACCACTTTGACATACGTCACCATCAGAGAAATTCCAGAAAACCGAAAGCTGTACGTGACAAGCGGAAGCAGAAATACTGCATTGAATGTGGCGCAAACAACGGTATCTCTCCAAACACTTACAGAAACAACACGGTTATCTAAAAGGAACCGAACGATACCGGAGGGCATTAAAGGAATCTAGACCTGTTTATAGCTGGAAAGATTCTTGCAGTCGGAAGTATGTAGACATTGAGAGCGATACTGTAAGTGAGATTAATGACACCACTCCTGAAACAGTTATCATGCAGCTGAACAAGAAGGGGGAATACAATACGTCTCTTACAACAAGCTTAACTGGTAAGCAAGAGATCGAAACAGCAAGCGGTTCCTCGACTGCAGACGACGAAAACACCATAATGGATGAGGTTCAAGGGTTGGAAGGAACCGAAGCTGAAGATGATGCAGCAAATCCCGACTATGATGAAGATGAAAGTGGTGAGGCGGAAATCGACACGTCAGTCTTTATACTGACCCAGGACAGTAGAAGAATTTTTGACAAGTTTGAAAAGTGGATTCTAAGTCCTGACGGAGGTGAGAAAGATCCAAAGCCAGCTTCACTGGTAGTGTGACAAGTACAGAAGGTACTTATCATACTAGGAACAGAGAACATTGAAAGTCTTTTTGATAAGGTACTGATCCGTGACAAGTTCTATCCAGAATCTAGAGCTACTGTCAAGGCTGGAACAACAGTGAGTTATTTACATTCTCTGAGGAAGTTTTATACCTTTGCTATGACTGAAGATGATGTTGGGCTTTCTCAGGAATGTCGAAAAGCGGCAGATGCCCTGTACAGAAAATGTGGTGAATGGTGTAAAAGCCTGAGCAAAGATGTGAAGCAAAGATGTGAAGCAAAGATTCTGGGAAAAACAAGAGGAAGATTTGTCTTGCCTCATAACTCCAGAAAAGGTGCAAGAGTTTGCCAAAACAGCGTTTGCACGGAGTCAAGTCAAATTTTTAGACGAGTTGATTGACAACAAGGAGAAACTTCCTGTATTAAGCCAAAAGGAGTACTGTGATCTGCGAAACTTCTTGTTCATTTACATCTTGAGCCAGAATGGGCATAGGAGTGGTGTTTTAACGAACAGTACCCTTGCAGAGTACAACAAGATGACCTGTGTAGATGGAACCTACATGGTTGCAGTAAAAGATCACAAGACCTTTTCGTGCCACGGTCAAGCCAACCTCTGTTTTGACAACAGTCTAAAGGCATGGGTAGACATTTATGTGGAGTGTGCAAGAAGTCAAGTTGACCCAGGCGATGAAAGTGATTCTTTGTTTCTAAATTGGAGAGGAGGGAAGATGTCAAGCAGTGATCTTTCAGCAGCATTGACCAGTGCCTGGAGAAAGGCTGGTATGATTGGGAATGACAGGCGCATATCCGGCACTCTGATGAGGAAGTCTTGCACCACTGCTGTCCGTAACCACAATAACAAAGTCAAGGGGAGTGTTGCTGCCCACATGGCACACAGTGAGCATACGGCAGATAAGCATTACAATCTAGTTCAGAAGCGTGCAAACTCTGCTTTTGCAGCCAGGCAGTTAGCTGCCATTATGCATGGGAATTCGTCTTCTGTTATATCATCTCGTGAAAGAAAAGTTGATCCTGAATCTAATGCATATGATGACAACGACCTAACACATACACCACCTCTACGGCAGACCTGGACAGAAGAAGAGCATAAAGCAGTCCAGGAAGTGTTTGCAGACCAGATAAGCCGTCAATCAGTAACAATGAGAGAAGTATTAGCACTTAAGCAGACCCATCCACTGCTCAAAAAATTTTGAAAACAAAAGATTGCTCGACAAAATAAGGGGATTGTATCGGTTTAAGAAAATCGATAGTGAATGTCTGCAAGACACCCAGAGAAGTGACGATGCCGTTAAGGAGGGGGATTCGGATGCCAGCTCAGTTATGGGTCCATCTACAAGTCAAAGTAAATCAAGAGTCTTTGACGAGGAAGAGGTCAGTCTGTTCAAAGAACTTTTCAAGGACATGATTCAGAGGGGTGCGAAGATAGAACAGAGGGTTGTGGTAGAGCGACTGAAGCAGAATGGTCATGGACAAATCTATGAAAAATACACAAAACAGAAAGTGACGGATAAAATAAGAGGTCTTCGCTCCACACATATCAGGCAGTGGAGAAAGTAATCAGTAACATTCAAGCAAACACGTTTAGCTTGAATTCTTGTAATACAATGACTGGATGTGTTGCGGTGTTGTGTGCAAACAGATGTATGATGTTAAGGCCACTTAGACGTTCATGAATACTTGTTTACTTTTGTTTATATTGTATGCACGTTATGACTACAATGAACTGTTTTTGAAGGATTTCGTTTTGAGCTGTAAATTGTGAAATACGATTTCCAAATCCTTTAAGTCATTCTACGTCACACGTGAACGGTACTTGTCAAATATAAATAGCTCCAAAGTAGCACTTTTAGTTAATATATGAGCATTTGATTTTACCTTTCTGGCCATATTATTTTGTACTTTCAGTCTGTTTCAACGTAGCAAATTGCCTTCGCTTGTGACGTAGAATGGCTGTAACAGTTATTTCGATAAGTGACACTGTGGATTTTGACCAAAGCAACTTGACTGTGGGTAGTAATTTTTTTTAAAGGTACTCCAATCGGAAAGTCACAGATAAGGGGTCTTCGTTTGACATTAATTAGCCAAGGAAAAAATTGTAGACACAGGCAATGCGGAGAAAATTATTGTAGATCAATTTTTAGATGTATCGTGTGTTGATGTTGCAATAACTTGTGGCCGCGTATGGCGTGGAAAATCATTTGACCTGTTTTTCCGGGCACGCTTTTAATGGTGATAGAACGCTTATGCTTAATATCGATTGTAAAGATTACTGGCATAGTCATTGCTCTACGTGTCAACCTTCTCTTTATTACTGGCACATGAGTCACTTTCATCAACATTACCAGTTCAGTTATTACAGTTTATTGCCATGTGCAATCTCCTGAGATCATGTTGAGATTTTTGTGAACACGTGCTACTTTTCAGCCAGTGTAGCGAGCATTAATATTCTTGAATCATACAACGGTTGCATTAGCGTTACCACTTTAGCTATTACAGTTTACTGCTGTATACAATCTCGTGAGGTCAGGATGAGCTTGTTGTTATTGAGTAAAATGCTTAAAAAAGGAGTTCATTTTATAATATAACTTTTATGAGGGCAATACACTTCTATTTTACCGCGTTGAAGATTTTATAAATCGAGAACTGCAGCTCTAAAGATATGTCCAAAGAGTTCAACTCGAAAAGAAAACTATGAAAGAAACCAACGTAAATGCTCAAAATTGCTTTCTTAGTTCTTTTTACACCCCAAAAGCAGAACAGTGGATGAGAAGAAAATGCAGTGAATAGTTTGGTCTCAAAATCTACTGGTCGGTCGAGTAGTCCACACAAAAAGTCGTTCAGTCCACACAAAAGTCGTTCAGTCCACAGAAAAAGTCGTTCAGTCCACAGAAAAAGTCGTTCAGTCCACAGAAAAAGTCGTTCAGTCCACAGTTGAGTCGCTAAGTCAACTTTGCCGAGTCGCCTAGTCAACACAGAGTTGTTAAGTCCACATTTTTGAGTCGTTAAGTCCACCAAGAAGGGCGCAAAATCCACCATCCGTTTAATCCTCATCATCCTCATCCTCCTCATCATCATCCTCCTCCCCATCATCCTCATTCTTCTCATCATCCTCCTCCTCATCATCCTCATCCTCATCCTCCTCCCCATCATCCTCATCCTCCTCATCATCCTCCTCCTCATCATCCTCATCCTCCTCATCATCATCCTCATCCTCATCATCATCCTGATCATCCTGATCATCCTCATTATCATCATCATCATGATAAGTTTAATTCCATCATCATCACAAGTTAATGAAATACAATGAAGTTACAAGAAAAAAAGAGATAAAATCATCATCAAAATCATCATCATCCATCCTGTTGACAACAAAGTTTTGTAATTACCACTATGCCATTGGGTGTGCAAGTAAGATAGTCTGTGACTTCGAAAGCTTTCAGAACAAAATACTTCAAGACTTACCCAAGTTCTTTTAATTGATTTTCCCCTTTCAAAGGTGAATTTTAATCAAAATAACTGCTTTTTAACAAGTGATAGTGTAGTTAGAGGGAAGAAAGAATTCACTCACTCAGTCAGTCAGCCAATGGATCCTGAACATTTTAGGTGGTTACTCCACTGACCAGGGTATTTCGCGAGAAGAGTGACATTTGCTAACTGTTGCTGAACACTTAGTTTTTGTAAACTTTCCTTTCCAATTGGAGCAGATGTAATTCTCTGAGATTTGCCTTAAATGATCATTGCAACTGAAAATGAAGGAACTTTTCAGGCCTTTTCTATACCCTCAAAACTGACAACTTTAAATCTCTTGTTAAGAAATGCAAACATGTCTTGCCAGAAAAACCCCTCTTTGCCTAAGCATTTTGTGACTGTTCCAACTACTGTAATTTGCGACCTGAAATTTAAACCTTATCATGTATAGGCAATCACTGACATATTGGTGGCACACTAATGTTTTAATTACATCTCTCCAACAACTATCTCCAAGTGTTATTTAGAAACTACAACAAACTGGACAGGGGGTTTGAGCACATTATGTTAGCAACACTGCATGAGGAAATGGTAGTTGTATTCAAACCACTTATGACAGTGATCTCAGTTTCCAGTACTCTTCAATTCATAAAAAAATAGTGTGATACCAACATCTTCTAGATCTACCTAAAGGAATTTCACTTGGTAACATATAAAGCAAATTATACTAATAACATTTATGTAAGAATATTGAAGGGTCGCAGCCAGAATAAAACATGGTAAAAATTTAAAACAATCTCTAGCTGAAATGATTAAAAAATTACAAGCTTTTGACTGCCTGAGCTACAGTCTTTGACGGGTAAAATGTGAATGACGTCATTGTCATTCACATTTTACCGCCTGAAGACTGCATGTAGTTCAGGCAGTCAAAAGCTTGTAATTTTTTAATCCTTTCAGCCAGAGATCGTTTTTAAATTTTTACTAATAACATTGTTTGCAAAAAAACACTAATAACAAAGTTCAAGATGGTCTCACCTTTCCATGAAGAATAAGGGAGACAAGAATGAACTTTTTGTATCCCTCAAGCATTATGTGACTCACATCAACGGCAGGACATGTTACTGCCTGCAATTAAAGGAAATGATATAAATAATAAAATCTGTACGCACTTGTCATTTCATTACCATGTCCTCATTGCACATTTAGACACATAAGGCCTCACATATACATACAGTTTGTACTTGTAGTGTAACATATACCTCCTTTATTTTTTCTCAAGCATCTGAGCGGGCCGGAATCCTAAATCCTTGTATTTGATTGGCTAATCATACGTACGTGACTGGTCCAGCTTTTTAGGATACGGCCCACAGGCCGGATTTTCTTCCCGCTGCCTAAATTTTGCTCCCAAAAGTTAGTGGTAATCGTCAATCTTTTGCCTTTTTTACACATCCATCGACAATTAGTCAACGCAAGTTTACCTCTGTTCACTTTAAAATGGCAAGGAAAGTTACTGTAAGTAAATTCAATTGAGTGTTTTGAAGTTGTGAGAGTTTGCTTAATTGTTTGTAGCTTGGAGCTGTAATGGCGCGTAATCCTGTGTTTCTCTTGCTGTAAAATTTGAGTCAATTTCAYTCGAGTTTACCTCTSTGATCGTGGCTGTATTTAGAAGAATTTCTGTGGAATACACTTACTGAATTTCCTCGCTTTCTGCCGTTCAATTTACCGTAGAAAAGTGACGAAGTGATTTCAAAAGCAACGACTGACAGAAATTGTTTTTGTAGTAAAACATTAAACTTTGCACGAAATTTCACACCGCAAAAACAATTTTGAAGAACTTAACTGGTGAAATAAATGCAACTAACACAAAGTAGTTCGAAAAAAATCTGTTTTTAATACAGCTTTCTTTGTCTACTATCTGAGTTACTCGCTCGTTGCTGAGACTTTTTACAAAAATCGTTAGTAAACGGTGCGCAAGCCGATTCAATGACAAGCTAGAGTTGCGTAAACAAACCCATTTGTAATCTGTAACTAATTTACTGCAGGAAAAAAATAAACATGTTATTTGCTGGCTTACAGTCGGTCCGTATGGTGAAAAACTGTGACCTCGGGCTTGAAAATGCTGCTCTTGGCCTGCGGCCTTGGGCAGCATTTTCAAGACCTTGGTCACAGTTTTTCACCATACGAACCTCCCAGCCGGCAAATAACATATATACGTGTGCATGGAGAATTTAAGCTTACTCTGTCAAATTATAAAACCTTTGAAAGCATTCCATGAACTTAGGTCACAAATAACCCATGCTCACAGCGTGTCAGTGCTGTCACATGACATTGCAATGGAAAACAGTATGAGAACATGCTTTGGCTATTCCTTACTTCCTCTGTGTATTAGTTTTGTTACTGTAGTTTTCAGACATTTAAAACGATTTCAGCTAGTTTAAGCTTACTTGTTTTGGTCTAAATACCTTAAGGTAGAGCAGTCACATTGCAAAGTTGACCTAAGAAAAAATATACCAATTTGCTCCAAGGGCTACCATTGCATCAAGAATTCAAGAGAAAATAAAAATAGTTTGACAAACTAAATTTGATCTTTCGTACATCTATCCTAAAAGAAAAACAATAATTGCCTTCCTCAAGTAATCAAACCTATTAAACACTGTTACACTGAAACCCATTCGTTTACCACACAATGTATTGCAAAGTTTAACGCAGACTTACAATTTGTGCTGCGTAGCAATATGGAAATTTTTTCTGACATCAACGATAAATGTTACGTCTGGCAATCCTTGTTTCTTAATGCTATGAATGAGCACTTTCCTATCCGCTGCAAATGCATTCGCCAGTCAACTCATCCTCTGGCTAGATAAATCAATACTGTCCACAATGAGAAGGCATGATCAGTTCCACAAAAAAGCAAGGAAATTCAATCGGCCATCAGATTAGTTGGAATATAGGCTTCTGCTAAATCTAGTCCCATCACCACTCAGAAAAGCCAGAGAGAATTATTTTACCAAGGAATTAGCAGAAAGTAGATCCAATCCGTGTAACTTCTGGAAAACTCTCAAGGAGGTCCTCCCAAACAAGAATGCACCATGAGATACCAATAGACTGATTATTGACGGCAAAGAGGTGACTGCTCACAAAGACATTGCCAATGCGTTGAACTTATATTTTACGTCAATAACATCCTCTCTCTTAACCAACTCTAATGAAGTCGAATCTGAATTTGTTCCAGACGCGGTGCCATCAAACATAGAATCCTTTAAATTTACTTTGCGAAATGTGAATGAGGTTTCAAAAGCTATCAAGGATCTTAACCAAACAAAGGCAACAGGATCAGATGGGATTTCCGCAACAGTTCTAAAAATGGTGGAACCAAGTGTCTCTCAAAGCCTAACTCATCTTTTCAATGAATTGCTTCAGGCTGGTCAATTCCCTTCTGCCTGGAAAAAAGCAAGAGTAACACCACTTTTCAAAGGAGGCACAGCAACTGACTGTGATAATTACCAACCTATTTCAGTGCTACCCTCTACTTCAAAAATCCTGGAATCCTTTGCAAATTTGGACTTACAGAACTTTGCTTACAAGTCTGGTCTCATAGAACAGCATCAGTTTGCCTACTCCAAGTTCTCCTCAACTACTGTGGCTCTACTTAAGGTAGTAGATTCATGGAAGATGGCAATTGATAAAGGTCTCAAGTCAGTCAG